TTTTTTTTTTTTTTTTTTTAACTTGCCAGACTGGGATTTTCTTTAGAAGTTCAATCAGGGCAGAGGTGAAGGCATACTGGAGCTTTAGAAGAATAATAGAAAAATAATGGAAAACCTCTTGGTGACTGGTAATGGGAGAGGTCCAACATCAACACCTGGGACTCAGGACCACATGTGGAGTGAGGACCACAGCTGGACCTCCAGTCTTCTCTGACTACATTCCCCACAGCCCCCCTCCCGTGAGATCCCAAGATGTGCATAGCAGAGGCTTTGTCTCCTATGCTGGGCACAGGGGAGGCATCTGTTGTTTGCAGATTCCAGTCTAGGGAGGACTGATTCTCTGGAATGGATAAATTAATTTTTCACATCCACATTTCTAAGTGGTTAAAACTAAACGTTTTTTAAAGCTTGAATGAGAAGACAAAAGTTATATTATTTTTTAAATATTTTATTTTATTATTATTTTCTTTTACGTGTATTGCCTGCATGCATGTAAGTGAACCCATGTCCTGCAGTGCCCACAGATGTCAGAAGAGGGCGTCAGCTCCCCTGGAACTGGAGTCATGCATGGTTGTTAGCCAGCATGTGGGTACTGCGAGCTGAACCCAGGTCTTCCGCAAGAGCATCTAGTGCTCTTAACTGTTGAGCCATCACTCCAGCCCAGAAAAGTTATATTATTAAACCATGGGAAACCACTGAGCATTCTTACTGAAACTATGTTATATTTCATAGAGACCAAGTGCTCAAAATAATTAGCTTAAGTAAGGTAGGCTTGAGTACCCCTCTGGGTAGAGCTGAAAGAGATCAATCACTTGGAGTTGGCTCAGCAGTCCATGAGCTGAATACTTATCCCCAACTCCCCGCACCCACCCAGGCAACCTCCACCTTACTGCTTCACCTTGCAGTTTCCCTTCCTATAGTTAGGTTGTTAACTAAGACGCCTCTTGCAGATGTAACTCTCACATCTGTAATTCAGGCAGCATAAAAGGAATACAGGAAGAAAGAGAAGGATTTGTTTACATCCTATAGGTTTGTATGTGGTTGCATATTCAAGATGAGTTTCCAGAAAAGGGTAAGAAGCAATTCCTTTCCTCAGCAGCTTAGTGACTTTAGAAAGACGCTTTGACTTTCAGAGGACAAAGGACTGCTGTCAGTGCCTACCACAGTCCCAGGAGGTTTGAGTTTCTCAGGATACCTGCTTCTGCTAGCTAGTCCAGCTTCTGTCTCAAAGGCCTTCAGTTATGTGAACCAATCCAAATGGTGTATAATTTAGGATCTGCAGAAAATTGGACACTTTTGCATTTCTATTACTTTATTTCATACACAGGAGTGACCTTCAGAGAACTCTTTTAACTGACAATTAAATAGATTCATTTGAATTTGGTCTGCTGGAAAAAAAATAATTTAACAGAGAAAATTAGTTTGCCACCAATGAAAGGAAATAAAGGCCCCAGGGGTGCATTGTGCTTGACAAGACAGTGTAGGATGCATCAGCAGAGGGTTCTTAACCAATGACTGACAGCATCGGTTTTGTCATTTGCCCTTAAGAGGAAAACCTTAGAATTCTGACAGGAACTTTAAAGGTCACTTTAACAGGTTTGTTTTTCTACCTGTCTGTATTTTCAGAATGAGCCCATTTATGAAGGATATACTTATTTCCATCACTAAGAATAGCTTTTAAATTTTACTCTAAAGGGAGAAGGAATCCTGTAGGTGGAAAGCTGAGAGAGACTATTTACAAACACATCTTTGGTCAAGGAATCTTTGTGCAAATGCACATCTCAGTATTGCCTGTTTGTTTGTTTAAAAAAATAGATAAATGGCCTGTGAAGTCAGGCACATATTTCATGCTCTCACTCCTGACATGGAGACAAACTTTCTTCCTGCAAATGATCTGTGAGCTCTCTGGCTGGAATTTGAGACTCTAGTTATAGATCCTAGGTGACACTCCATGCACCACATCACTCAGACGTCCAACAGAGGTAGACCAACATGAGACCATGAATAATGGTGTAAAAGAAAATTCTTATGTATACAAAACAGAGAATTTGGGAGGAAAAAAACAGTGAGTTACTGTGGCTGGTGTCCTTATTAAAAAAGCAATTTTACTTTCACCTCATTCCATTAAAAGCAACACACACAGCATTCCTGTAACAATGAATGGAAAGTACCATATGGAAAGTACCATGGAAATATATATATTTCAGATAAGTATAATGTTGATGTGTGAGAATTTAAGTGGTAGTGGACTATGCAGTAAGGTTTTCACCTGGGTACTCAAGTTAGTGGATTTCAGGTTTTAGTAGGTCCATAGCATCTTGAATTTTTATCTCTTACATCTTCTAAGCCAGAATAAACTACATGTTCCTATCATAAATATATGGATGAAATTCCTGTTGAATAAATTAATTGGGGGCTAGTTAAAATAATTTTACAAAGTCAGTTAAGTATTATGTCAGTTTCCTATCTTAAAACACCATCAGTTTCTTATGCTATGTTGCATATGAATTCGTGATATTATTTCATGATGATATTTTTAATTAACACAGTGATAAATACCCATTAAAGATTTTTTTTAAATCTGCTACATATAATAAAAATAGATGAGACACAATCCTTTGGAACTCTAATTACATTTTCTTCCTGACCTAATAAATAATAATATAACAAGGATAGATACTAAAGTAATTCTCTTGTACAGTAGAATGCCTAATTGATCACATATGCAGTCCATATGAGGGAGAAATTTTGCGGCACATAAGTCTCAGTAAATGCAAGCTATTACCACCATACTTGTTAGTATTATTATTCACTTAAGTTTTCAGTATTAAAGTGAGCATAGCTAAAATATTCATGTTCTAAATATAAATCTGTAAGATACCAAACTTTAAATAGTATTTGAAAATATAGAAAGCTGGAGCCATAGAGATCTCAATGTTCCATGCTCGGTGCCTCTGATTCATCTCTTTCTTTGTCTTAAAGATGTTTCATGAAGACACTTCTGGTGGCTGGCAGCTGGTAGCTGTGGATGTCAACAAGCCCCAGGGACGAGCCCCAGCCTGCCTACAGGTGCAGTATACCACCATTTAAAAACTCACCCACCCAGAAAAGATCTTTGACCTTTATTTTATACAAAGAAAATTGTAGCTTCTAAGCTTTAGATTTGTCCAGATGTATGGAGGAGTCAGGGACAATTTTATTCCATCCTGTATTCCCAGGACCTGGCATTCATTTGAATGTGGAATGGGGATTTGTTAAACTTGGTGAATGAAGGCACACAAGGAAAAGCATTTCAACGTGTCACATCAATGAAGAATTTTGCTGCCATGTTAAATCTTGTGAAAAAAAAATAGTCCACTAAAATGCCTGGAATATTTAGGGATGGGCAGACCAGGTCACAGTCCATGCAATACCTCCATGAATAACTGGAAAGGAAATGATACTAATCCATGGTCTGTTACTATGCATCTACAATCTCTAAAACAAAATGATGTCAGGATACTTCCTTCACAAAGTACACAAAGCATGGACTGAAGAATGACAGGGTGCCAGGGAGCCCTGCCCAGACCTGAATGCTTAGGAGATGGGGCCTGAAGTCTCTACCAGGGAGCCTTCTAGAACCATCATCTGCTCAGAGCCTCTCCCAAGGTCTAGTAAGGCCTTCATCCCTTCTCTTGATTTCTCCCCCCAATACTGGCAGCTCATTCCAAATATGAAAAATTGACATTACTTCAAAAGGCAAGATTTTATTTTACTTTTTAAATCTTTATGCAACTGGAGAGCTGACTGAGCAGTTAAGAGCACTTGCTGCTCTTGCAGAAGACAGAGTTTCAGTTCCCAATACCTAAATGAAGGCTCACAACTATTTGTAACTCCAATTTCAGAGGTTTTGATGTCATCTTCTGGTCTCTGCAGACACTGCATGCATGTGGTACATTTATATACATGCAAACAAAATACTAAGACACATACAAATAAATCAAAAATTGTTACATATATATTAACATGAGTATGCTGCTCCACACATGTGGAGGAGGTCAGAGGGCAATTTGGAAGAAACAATTCTTTCCTTCTACCGTGTGGGTCCTGGACATCAGACTCAGGTCATCAGACGTGGCAGTAAGCACCTTTACCTGCTGAGCCATCTTGGTATTCAAGATTTAATTAATACCTTTCGTGCTGAAACTATTCCACTTGGCATATATGAGTTTTCTTTATTCAATCAATGGATGTTCTTGGCTAATTCTGTATTTGGTAATCATGAATAGCACTCAGTTAACATAGGAGTACAGGTATCTCTTCAGTGTCCTGATTTCATTGTATATTTATTCTGTAGTTGGACAACTAGATCATGTGGTACTTCTGTGTTTAGCTTTTTGAGAAATCTCCATAATGTTTTCCCTAATGACTCTACCAATTTATATTCTCACCAGTCTGTATAAGGGTGATCTTTTTTTATCGTTTATTTAATAATCACATACTTAGAAGAAGCATTTCATTACAACAGCATTGACATATTCAATAACAATTTCCAGAGCTAAGATGCATCTCTTTCAAAATTGACTATAAATTTTTAGGTTTAAAGTTGAATTAGTACAGTTATACAATAAGAATAAACCCTGTAAGACATAAAATTAAATGAGATTTTAACCTTTAAAAAAGATCTCCATTTCATTATTAAAATACACAGTTTCATACAGAAAAATTCATTTTGGATGTGAGGGCGATCTGGCTGGCTAGGCGGGTGTCCCCTTCCTCCCTCAACGCTCCATGTGCATCCCTCCTGAAGCTACCCTCTGTCGAAAAGGACAACCTTCCCCGATAGAAGAGGACCCCTCTTAGAACCTCCAAACAAGCTCTCAAGGGTGATCTTTTTATCCACATCTTCATCAAGATTTGTCTTTTATCTTTTTTAGATTATTCATTTTACAAAATGTAAAGATAATATGCAATTGTGGTTTTCCAGGTGCGTTTCCTTCATGGTAGTGATGGGATACACATTTTCATATGGCATTTGGCCACCCTCTCTCATATTTTGGAGAAATGCTCACTCAGGTTCTTTCCCCATTTATTTACTTATTTTGCTCTTCAATTGTATTAATTCCTTGAATTTTATATATGTTATTTTTTTAAATATTTATTATTTTTATATTATGTGTATGAATGTATTACCTGCTTGTATGTGAGTGCACCCATGTTGTCATGCAATGCCATGGAGGTCAGAAGAGGGCTTCAGATTCCTCTGGAACTGGAGTTAAGGACAGTTTGTAGCCACCATGTCGGTGTTGGGACTCGAACCCGGGTCCTTTGCAAGAGCAGTCAGTGCTCTTAACTGCTGAGCCATCTCTCCTGCCCCAAATTTTATATATGTTATTTTTTTAAATA